GAGCAGGAGCAGGAGCAGGAGCAGGAGCAGGAGCAGGAGCAGGAGCAGGAGCAGGAGAAGATTAGAAGACTTGGCCTGGGGTGGGGAGGGAAGACATCAGGTGTGGGGATGACTAGCCCCTTAGAGGCCTGTCGTCTGCAGCTCTGGAAACCATCAGCCTCTTGGATTTTTTCTTTTCTTTTAGTAACGTTTTGTACAGTTTTTATGTTTTATGTGATTGTATATATATTTATTGTTTTAATGGGTTATGTGAACCGCCCAGAGTCCCCCATCAGGGGAGGTGGGCGGAGAACAAACAAACAAACAAACAAACAAACAAACAAACGGAACTGAGCTCCAAGACATCTGAGGGGTGACAGACTGTATCTACCCAAACACAGGAAAAAACTATGAAGAATAATTAAACATAAATAACTATTAAGCTGTATTTCATAATTAAAACATAGTAACCATTTCACTGGAGAATCAGTTTGTTGTGGTGGTTAAGGCATCTAGAAACTGAGAGACTATGAATTCTAGTCCTGCCTTAGGCACGAAGCCAGTTGGGTGATCTTGGGCCAGTCATTCTCTCTCAGCCCTAGGAAGCAGACAATGGCACTTTTGAAATCTTGCCAAGAAAACTGCAGGGATTAGTCCAGGCAGTTGCCAGAAGTCAACACTGACCCCCCGCAAAAATAAAAAAAAATTCAATTTCACTCACGCAGAATGAAGTAAAAATTGTATCTTTTTTAACAATTTACTGACAAATGTGTAAAAGCAGAATATTTAAACAACTCACTGGCAAATGTGATGGCTGCTGCACAATCTGTTGATAGCGATGCAGAATTTGTTGCAACTGTGAATGCTTTTGCATTATTCTTTGATACTGGAAACCCACTCTTTGTTGTGGATGCTGCTGCCATTGTGTTGCTGCTGCCTGTAGCTGCTGTAATCTCAAGCTTTCTTCAGGATCTTCTGGAGGTTCAATGTTTAGCTAGGGTACAAGGAATTAGTCATAATTTATTTCAATCAGTGATTAGAATTCCAACTAAAAGGATAAAATAAGGAATAAAAACATTTTAAAAAATAGCAAAAAGGCTAACATTACTTCTTAGGTGTCATCCACAAATGTATCATTTTGCTGTTGCTTAACCTAGGTAGGTCATTTCCAGTAATACGTAATGCATCATGGTGGCAACAGAAATGATGGGGAATGACGCAAAGAAGATGTGCCTGTCTTTTTCTCTTGACTTGGGAGGGGGAGTTTTCTGGGCTTAATATTTGTTTTCAAACTATGTTAAAACTATTATATACTCAGACTGAAGTTTTCATGTGTTTGCTGTCTCAAAATTGTGAAAAATTCTACCATAAATTTCAGCAACATTAGTCAGGGCAGGCTCAAGGGAACCCAAAGAAGGGGACTGGCACTGCCAGTTGCCCACCCCTGCTGCAAATTTTGGTCCCCAAATGACACATGCCTCAAGATTTACAAACCATCCTTCCATTAATAACAAATAATTTAAAATATCTGAAATAAGCAAAATAGGGAAAAGAAATCTTTATCAATGAGCAGTTATATACAGTGACACTTCTGGAGATAGCACACCTTATGCTCAACAGATGACACAGGAAGCTCCTCATCTTTGGGATGTGGTAATATGGGTTCATAATTCAAAGTGGGTTCAGAAAGCTCACTAGAAACAGGTATTTCTCTTTCTTCTTGCCTCTGTTCAGGGGCATCATTAACAATGGGCGGCTGCTGCTGTCCCAATGCATGTGCTTTTGCCCTTTGCTGAAGAGTAAGCAGATGCTGTTGATACCAATATTGCTGTTGTTCCTACAACAAAGGAGAGAAGTATAGTAGTTTCATAGAGAAACAGAGAATATTCTAGAATCTGAAGAAAGGTATAGCACCTATTGCAAAGTAGAAAACACATCCATGTTTTTAAAATAATATTGATAACTAATTCAAACAAGAGAGCCAGTTTGGTGTAGTGATTAAGGCACTAGGCTAGAAGCCAGGAGACCGTGAGTTCTAGTTCTGCCTTAGACGCAAAGCCAGCTGAGTAAACTTGGGCGAGTCACTCTCTCTCAGCCCTGGGAAGAAGGCAATGTCAATCCACTTCCAAAAATTTTGCCAGGAAAAATGTAGGGACTAGTCTAGGCAGCTGTGAGGAATCAACATCGACTTGAAGGCATTAAAAAAACAAATAAAAAGCTCACCAACCTTCCCCCCACCCAAACTCTAGCTATTAGAGTTATTTTGTGAAATTTATTTATTTTATTTATTGAGCATATTTATATAGCCACCCACCTCACAAACAGGAGGCTCTGGGAGGCATACAACATAACAACAAATAAAAACTCCATAACAATCTAAAAACAACCAAAAATAAAATAAACGTATAAATTAAATATATAAAATAAACAGATAAGACCCAAAAAGCAAGAGAACAAACATCACTTAATCTCATACAGCCACCTTGCAGGGTTTCCCTGGAATCCCCAAGGCAGGTGGAAAAAAACATGTTTTAAGGGCCTTCTGGAAGGCTAACAGAAATGGGGCTAACCTCACCTTGGTGGGAATGGTGTTCCAGAGAGCGGGGGCCACAGCAGAAAAGGCATGCTGCCTGGGTCCCGCCAAATGGAGTTCCTTTGGAGATGGGACCTGCAGCATATCTCTCTTACCTGACCTGGTGGGGCGGATAGATGTAATATGGAAGAGCAAAGCTGTTTTCCCATTGTTTCTTAGGGGAAGGTTTCCCCCCCCCCCCCCAATGTTTTAACATTCATCATATTTGCCAAAATTTCTGCAGTTTGGATGGGACGCAGCATTCTGCATAGACTACACCCTACCTACCAGCCCTTAGATAAAAAACAAAGAAGCAGCAACTAATTCCAAATTGTTATTGTTTCCTATGGTATGTGAAATATTCAAGCTGTTCTGAGTTTTGGTCTACTGGTACACAGGTATTGCAAAAAATAGTCCACCAGAATGCACTGAGTGGAGCTACTTTGTTCTAAGCTCAGCACAAACCTCAAAGTTGAAAGCACTGCATTAATAGTCTCAGAGGAAAACAGTATTGGGATCCCATAGGCTGTCTTCAGAAATAAAACTTACACCAAGGACTTCCTTATCACTTTTACTCAAATGCAACTTTTTAAGTTCTACCCTCAAAGCTACATATTCATTTATTTATATTTAGAAGGTTGTCTTACATAGTTAAAAAAGAAAAAAAAACTAAAAAGAGAAAAGAACATGTAAACCTGGATAGAATCACAATCCCATCCACCCAAAAACTGCCAGGGGCCTAACAAACACCCTAACCCCAGGTCTGGGAGCAAACTCAGGTTTTAAAGACTTGTGGAACCCTTGTAGGGTGAAAGCCATGCAAATCTCTGGCATTGTTTAACTGAAGGGGCACAGAGTGACTCCATTCTATCAAATTTCACTAGACAGGAAGAAACCACTGCATACAGGCAGTCCCTTAAATAACCAGGCTCTATGCTAGGAAGAGCTTTGTAGGTTACAACCAGCACCTTAAATTGCACCCAGAAGGCAATCAGTAACCAATGCAGCTCACAGAAGAGTGATGACACAAACTCTGTTCAGATAACCACACAAGACCATGCCTTATGCATCTTGCTTGGACTTGCTCAGTTGGAGCTAAACTCTGAGCAGATCTGAGGAACTTTATCTGCCAGATAGCTTGAGTATTCCTTGTGGCAGCTCTGTAGATGGTCCTGTGAGCTGTCCCTCCCCAGCTGGGAATGAGTCACTCTAAACAGGGCCACTGGACCACTACCCCAGGACGCAATAACTGCAGATAAATGATGTTGCACTGCCCTTATTGCCATGATGCAATCCTAAATATTGACTATACTTGTGCTGGATCGGATTTGCTCTAAGTCTTCCTCTAATGATGTTCTAGGTACCTCTTCTGGCACTTCATTTCCTGGAGTTCCTTGGAAAACCAAGGTATGCTCTGGAACTGGTGCACAGAGAGAGGCTGCATAGGAGCAACACAGTCCAAGGTCTCATCTTGTTCTAGGCTGCAACCCAGACCTTGGCTGAACTGCCCACCAGATTCTTTTTTCAGCACCGTTACTGAACAGTGGTCATTAACAGAATCTTGCAAGTCTGAAAGTACATTTCTCCCCCTGTCCTCCTTACAGCCCAAGAAATTAGGGAGGGTCCCTTCTGAGCCACTTACCCTGGCCACATTCCTGCTGCAGGCTAAGTTGCCTTTTATCTGACTGTTCCCTTGGCTGCATCTCTTCTCCCTGCCTCCCAAGGTCATTCAGTGGGGCAAAAAAGTATTTAGTCAGCCACCAATTGTGCAAGTTC